GCCAGAAGAGCCCACAGCGAAGATATGGAGACCCTCAGCTGCCCCCACAATACCACCTAGTGCAAGGAACAGGGCTGGTGATGGAAGGAAACCAGCCGACTACTGCCCACCAATGTAGAACCATTTCAAAAAAAGAAGAAAAAGGAAGAAAAAGTAGGCGGAGGTTAGTTCATGTTTATTCTTAGGAATTCTACTGTAAGGGAGGGGAATCTGGGCTTTTCAGAGGCTTTTGAATTAAAACCCCTAGTCGTCACCCACATGGACAACAATGACAATTGCCAGGACTATGCCACTTTAACAGTCTCTGTAGGGCTACAGGTTCCATGTGCTGGTATTATAGATTCTCAGCTCCCAGTTACTTCTGAACATAGAAAAACCATAGGAATCCTCTCTCTGTGCCTCTTTAATTTGCTTCTAAAATTGAATAGAATAGAGGCGGAAGGGAGATCTTCTAGTCCAACCTCCTGCTCAAGCAGGAGGCCACTTTCAGAAAAGTGACTGCCCAGTCCCTTCTTAAAAAATTTCCAGTGATGAAGTATCCGCAACTTCTGAAGGCAAGCTGTTCCACTGGTTAATTGTTCTCACTGTTATGAAGTTTTTACTTAATTCCAGGTTGTTTCTCTCCTTGATTAGTTTCCATTCATTGTTTCTTCATTCCTCTGGTGCTTTGAAACTAAGTTGACCCACTCTTCTTTGTGGCAGTCCCCTCAAATACTGAATACTGCTATCATGCCATCTTTAGTCTTTCTTTTCTCTAGACTCCCCAAATCCTCCAACTATTCTTCATATGCTTCAGTCTCCAGACCTTTCATCATCTTAATTCTTCTCTCCGCACTTTTTCCAAAGTTCTCAACAACTTTTTTGTAATGTGGAGACCAAAACTGGAGGCAGTATTCCAGGTGTGGTCTTACTAAGGTTTTATAAAGTGTACTAATACTTCTGGCTCTGAGCACTGCTGGTTCATATTTAAGTATTCATCACTAGATGTTTTGTATGAATAAGCAGGTACCTGTGGTAGGGAAGAAAGGTGAGTCAAGTATATTTTTGCCTGGGGGATCTGAATGAGAGATTTGTCACTTTAGCTCAGTTTCTAATGTGTTCTCTTCCCTTAGCTCAAAGAATGGAGTCATGCTCTTTGCTAGGCCACAATGTGGTCTGTTTTCTTTTGCCCCAGTGTGATATGATCGCAGAACTGATCATTTCCTTTTTGTTAGTGACTGTTAGGAAATGGGTAACTTCCCAAGCAGATTTCCCCCCACCCCCCTTTTAATGTAGCATTACGTTCTGGTGACTTTGTAGCTAAAGAACACATTTGTATATTATTCTTGTCAGCAAGAGAGAAATCCTTTGCCATTGTCTTCTTCCAGGGTTCTTTTTGATGCCTTCCTAGGATATCCTGGTGATCTACCATTCAAGTCTTAACTTGAATGGTAGGTCACCAGAACCTTAAGCTCAGCCAAGTTCACTTCGTGTAATGGGCAATAGGAGAACAGGAGAAAGAGTTGAAACCAGGACAACAATCAGATAAAGAAAATCTGAGTCTAAGGCAGATAAGTAATTTGAGAAAGTGACTTGGACAAGACTCCCCCTAAGTCTCATGAAGATAAAGAGAGGGAGGGGGGAAGCGCATTGAGATTTTGTATACTATGTGGGCCTTGGGACATGGAGCAATAATAATAGTGTAATTAGCACTTGTAATGCTGTTTCCTAGTGTGGTCTACCTTGAAGTTAAGTGCCACCATGCCAGATAATGTAGTAAGCTATAACAAATATATCAAATGGGATTGTGGGTTGATATAGTTGTAGTGGTTATAAGATACTAAATTTTGGAAGATGACTATCATGTCACTTGTAAGCTTTATCTTTGTTAGGCTAAATGTACCTCCAGACCCTTCATCATCTTTATTATTCTTTTCTGCTCTTTTTCTCAGTATCTTTTTTTCTGTCGTAATGATACAGTATTCCTAACATGGCCTTGCTTGTGCAGTATAGTAGCCTCACTTGTGATCTTGATGCTACTCTTCTGTAAATGCAGCCCGGGACCTGCTGATCCACACTTAAGTGGGGGGTCTACTAGATTCCTCTCACAGGCATTTTTTGTACCTGTGCATTTCATTTTTTCCTGGACCTCACTTTTCTCACCACTGAATTACATCTTGTAGGACAGGGCCCAATGCTCAAGTCTTCAGATCCTTCTGAATCTTAAGTCTATCTTCCAAATTGTTACTGTGTTTCCCTGAAAATACCTAACCCTAACCCTAACCCTAACCCTAACCCTAACCCTAA